GAGATCAGCCTGAACAACATAGTGAGGTCCTGTCTCTACAAAAAATTTAAAACTAGTGGGCCAGGGGCATGCATCTGTGGTCTCAGCTACTCGGGAGGCTGAGGCAGGAGGATTGCTTGAGCCATGATCAGGCCACTGTACTCCAGCCCAGGCAACAGAGCAAGATTCTGTTTCAAAACAATAAATAAATACCCACCAATTTTTTAAAAGGGTGATACAATATGACTAAACTGGACTTTTTTCAAGAATAGGTTAATGTCAGAAAATCAATTGATGGGCCGGGCGAGGTGGCTCATGCCTGTAACCCCAGCGCTGTGGGAGGCCGAGGCGGGGGCATGAGGAGGTCAGGAGTTCGAGACCGGCCTGAACAATATGGTGAAACCCCGTCTCCACTGAAAATACAAAACTTAGCCGATCGTGGTGGCGCGTCGCGTGCCTGTAGTCCCAGCTACTCAGGAGGCTGAGGCAAGAGAATCATTTTAACCTGGGAGGCAGAGGCTGCACGGGCTAAGATTGCGCCACTGCGCTCCAGCCTGGGGCACTGAGCAAGACTCCATCTCAAAAAATACATACATCAATTTATGGAATTTACCACACTAACAATGAAATGAGAAATGTTACATAATGCTCTTAATGAAACTTTTTTTTTTTTTTGAGATGAAGTTTCGCTCTTGTTACCCAGGCTGGAGTGCAATGGCGCGATCTGGGATCTGGGCTCACCGCAACCTCCGCCTCCTGGGTTCAGGCAATTCTCCTGCCTCAGCCTCCTGAGTAGCTGGGATTACAGGCACGCGCCACCATGACCAGCTAATTTTTTGTATTTTTAGTAGAGACGGGCTTTCACCATGTTGACCAGGATGGTCTCGATCTCTTGACCTCGTGATCCACCCGCCTCGGCCTCCCAAAGTGCTGGGATTACAGGCTTGAGCCACCGCGCCCGGCCAACAGTTTCTTTAAAGCCTTTGCAAGCCATGAATAGGATGGGGCGTTCTCACTGCATAAAGGGCATCCACAGAAAGTCTCCGAAATCATCACCCCTGAGTAAAACACTGGAGGCCTTCCTTAAGGCCAGAGCACAGCAAGGTATCCACACAATTATCCATATTCAACATTGCACTGTGGCAATCCACAGTCAGGCAAGAAAAAAGAATAAAAGTATGAAGACTGAAAAGAAACAACTTTGCCTTCTGCAAAAGATAAAACATACACTTAGAAAACGCAAAGTAATCTATAGATAAGTTACTAGGTTAAAAATAGTAAAATCACTGATTTCAAATATCAACTGAATTTCTACAATATTGGCAACAAACATAATAAAAAGCTGACTTTTACCAACGACTTCTAAAATACAAGCATCTAGGAATAAATCTAACAAAAGATATGCATGACAGAAGAACTTTGTAAAACTCTCAAAATACATTAAAGACCCAAGCAGAGAGACAGCTTGTTCATGAATTAGAAGACAGTACCATACAAATGTCAATTCTCCCCAACCTGCTCTACAGAGTCAGAGAACTTCCAATTATAAACCCAATGTGGCTCTGTGTGAAACTGAAAGGTAATTCTAGACCACGCATGGTGGTTTGTGCCTGTACTCCTAGCACTTTGGGAGACTGAGATGGGAGGACCTTTTGAAGCTAGGAGTTGGAGATCAGCCTGGGCAACATAGTGAGACCCTGCCTCTACAAAAAAAATTTTTTTAATTAGACAGGCATGGTGGGGCACACCTTTAGTCCCAGCTGCTCAGGAAGCTGATGCTGGAGGACTGCTTGAGCCCAGGATTTAGAGGTTACAAGGAGCTATGATTGAGCCACTGCACCCCAGTCTGGGACACAAAATGAGGCTCTGCCTCTAAAAGACAAAAAGATGGCCAGGCACAGTGGCTCACACCTGGAATCTCAACACTTCGGGAGGATCGTTTGAGCCCAGGAGTTCAAGACCAGTCTGGGCAACATAGGAAGACCTTGTCTCTACAAAAATAAATAAATAAATTAAATAAAAACAAATTAATAAACACCAACAGAAAAGACAATGAAGCAGGAAGAGCAAGGTACAAAGCTGCCCAGTCCCTGCCGAAGAGTGGGTGAGGGCGCTCAGGGACATGGGCACCAGAAGATGCTCTGGGAACCCGGCCGGCGGAGGCCACAGATGGGCACTGTCACATACTCCATGGCCCACCTAGGAGCACCATTTCTAACAGTGCTGAGCCGAAAGTGCCGCAGGGAAACAGCGCACAGGCCTCCCCAGCAACAGCCTGGCATGCCCCGGTAGCAGCTCCCGGGGACAGACTTCTCCAGCCGCCTCCCAGGAGAACTAAAACGAGACCAGCACCGCAGCCAGGCAGACAGTCAGTGTGCACACTCTGCCCGGCCGACACGGGGGTGCAGCGGAAGGACGGAAAGGCTGCTCGGAGAGCAGGGAAAAGCTCAGAATTGGACAGGGACGTTTTCAACAGTTAGCCAAGAAAGGATGACTATCCCTAAAGAAACTGCTGAAACTCATCAAGCAGAATAAAACAGAAAGAAAACTGGCAAAAGAACAGGAATTTCACTGACAAGGAAGTACAAATGGCCTAAATTAGTAATCAGAGAAATTCAAGTCACAACTACGATACCATTTCACACCCACCAGACGGGCAAAAATTAAAAAGTCAGATGCTGGCACAAATACGGAGCAGTGGGGACTCTCGTCCCTGTTGGTGGGGGCCGGAACAGGCACAACCACTCTGGAAAACTGCCAGCAGTAATGCTGAGCACGTGCACACTCCCACCCTAATCCTGCTAGCTGGCAGCACATGCTTAAGACAGGCCCTGGCCATCCAGAGTCACAGGCAGAAGACAGGCACAAGGATGTCCACAGCAGCACGTGGCTTGTAGTTAGCCAAATAACTGGAAACAAGCCACGGTCCCTTGACAGAATCAGAGCCGGGCTGCTATCATGCCAGGGAATAGTATGCAGCAGAGAACACACCGGAAGCCATCAGCACAGACGCAGCCCAGAAACTTAATGGCTGGGCAAAGTGAGGCGTACAAAAGAGCACAGGAGGAATGAAATCCTTTATGTAGAGTCCCCAAATAAGCAAAACTAAGTAGCAGACTGTCTGAGGGTGCATGAACAGGCGGAAAAAGCACAAAGAAAAGCTGAGGCAAGCCCACCACGTGGGGCTGTGTTCCAGGACTGGGAAGGGCAGGAGCTTATCACGAGGCTGAGGCTCTTCTACGAACAAACTGCATCTTCCCACCCTGACAGCTGCGCCAGCCGCCCCTCCGCCCATCAACTAACCCCACACCCACAGAACAAGCCCTGTCCTCCTACCTACCCTTCCCCCCTCACCCTGTCCAGGCCAGAGCCACAGACCCCTAGCACTTAGTGCTGCCCAGCCCAGGTGCCCCGATCCTACCCCACCCGCCCTACCCATGCCCTCCTCACAGACACCAGAGAGGGCTTTCTAGACTAGACCCATCGAGAATAGAGGACAGCTCCACAGTGGGGCTGATAAGGCCCCCACCTCCCTCGGGTTAAAGACTTTGCTGCTCATTTGGAGAGCCCCAGGAAGCAGCTGTGGAGACAGCAAGGGCAGGCTGTGTGCTGCAGTGCTGGGGAAGGGGAGGGCCCACAGCCAGTAGAAGGTCCTGGGGCTGTGGGTGAGGCAGTGACTCAGAGGGACAGAGACGAGACGGGCTGTGGGGCTGTGAGACCTGACACTAGGGCAATCGCCAAGGCCTGGGGAGATGATACTCCCCAGAAGAGGGGCAAGTAGGCATATCAGCAGTGCTCAGCCCTAGACTTTGGGCAAATGCTGACCCTTAGGTCTCACATGGACACAGGTGCAAGAGTCGTGTGGGGTGGGCATCCTTCCTGTCCACTCAGCAAAACCAGTGCCCTGAGGTCCCAGCCCTGCAGTCCAGGAGGGCAATTCTAACACCACGCTCGGAAATGCAGGTTGTGGGAGCCACGGCAGAGCACCAGAGGCACCTACAGCAGACTAGCGGGCGGTGGAACGACTCAATGCCACCTTCTCCCCCCCCCCAAGGCACAATGGCCACTTCCAGTGCCTGGGAGGTCCGCTCACCCTCCCATCTCCCCAGGGAGAGCGCGTGCACACTCCCACCCTAATCCTGCTAGCTAGAATCCCCACCTGCCTCCTCTTTCACCCTGCTGTCTACTCTAGAACCAGAACTTTTCCGGAGAGTGTGACTCTCTCCTCAGCCTGGGAGCTTCCTGAGCAGGAACTACCAAGTCACGAAGAAATCACACAAGTTTCCAACTGAGCGGGAGAAACAGGGAGCCTACAAGTTCAAAGGAGGCTGGGCTATGGCCGGAGGATAAACCCTGTCCGGTGGTTACCGCTGGGCGACAGGGCGCCCCCCTAACAAGTGCAGAGCAGCCAGCCTTCATGCAGAGGCAAGATCAACGGGGGCGCGCAAACGGCAGTACTGACTTGGCGACGTCTCCACATGAGAGACAGCGCCAACCAGGTACCGGCGAGGACGACCCCGCCCCGCAGGACCGGGCATCTCCACCGCGCGCTGCACGGACCATACAACCGAGACCTGCGCGCCCCGTGCGCCGGGGCTGGCTTCCAGGCTGGGGTCTGACAGTGTGGCCGGACGCGAAAGGAAGCGTGTGGTACCCGGGAGAGGAAGCGCCCTCGTGGCCCCGGCCCGCGCTGCACTGAGGCAGGTGTGCAGGTGTGGCTGCGGCGAGCCAGGTGAGCGCCGCCCGGGAGCCCCGAGGTCCCGCCGGGCCTGAGCACCGCAGGGTCCTCGGAAGCTGAGCGCGGCCCCCGGCTCGGGCGCTTGGGACCTGGGGGGCCCGGGCCGCGCTCGGTGGCGCTGCGGGGGGCGGCGGCTGCGCGCGTCCGGCCAGCGGGCTGGCGGGGCCGCGGGGGGCGGCGGGGGCTCCGCTGGGCGGCCCGGGCCGGGGGGGCGCGCGGAGGCCGCGGCCCGGACACCCCCGGCAGGTGCCGGGCGGAACAAAGCGCGGCAGGCGGCGCGTACCTGGGCACGCAGCTGGGGCTGGAGCCGTCCACCTCCCAGGTGGCGAACAGGTTCATGGGCACCGGCGTGTTGAGCGCGCCGGGCGCGCCGGGGAGGCCGAGGCGGCCTCGCTCGGCCATGGCGCCGGCCCCGCCGCTCCCTCGGCGGCCTGGGGCTGCGGCCGGGCCGCGGATGCGCGGCGGGCGGGCGGGGCGCGCGGAGGGCGGCGGCGCGGTCACATGGCTGCCGGGCGGCGGAGGGGACGGGCCGGGCCCGGGCGTCGGACAGGCCCGCGGGCGGCGACGAGCTGCGGCCGCTCCGCCCCGCCCCGCCCGGCGCCCCGCCCGCGCCCCGCGCGCCCCCGGCCGCCCCGCGCGCGCCCGGCGCCCTCCGACCCCCGCGGAGGCGGCGGATTGGCTGGGGTAGGCGCGAGCTCGCCGCCTCGGGCCCAATCGCCGCCGGCGCAGCGCTCGCCGGAAGTGAGGTGCGCGCGCGCTTCCTCCTGCGGCGCCCGGCGGGGCGTCCCCGCCCGCCGGCACGCGGGAGCGCGCACTCGCGCGCCTGCGCACAGGCCCCGCCCGGTGCGCCCCGCCCCGCCCCCCGGGAGCAGCGGGCAGGCGCCGGGAGAGACGCGGGAGTGCGCCGGGTCCGGGCCAGCCTCGGGCGCCGCCCCCTAAGGAACGCTCATCGTCTCCCTGGCGCTGCCCGCCTCCCCACGTGCGGAATCCCCGGCCTCGAGGCTTTCCCGCCTGCACCGCGCCACGCCCCGAGTCTCCCGGCCCCGCTGCACCCGCGCCCCGGTCCCCTGCCGACCCCCGCTGGGTGGGCGCCGCTGTGCTGTCCCCGCCGGTCCCCGAGAGGATGCAGGGAGGTGGCCGGGCCTGGCTGGCGGCCGCGGGGGCATCAGGCTCCCGAGCTCAGCCCCCAGGGCTCCCAGATGCCCCCGGCGCCCTCTTCGCGTCCCAGCCTCCGTGGTCAGCGTCGCTGTTGGGAGTTTTACTCAGGACAATGGAGAACAAGAGTCAGGGGCCAAGGCCGGCTCCCGGCCCTGGGGTTCGCGGTGAACTTGGTGACCCGAGCAGAGGAGGCAATGGCTGGAGCCGCCGGGGCCGAGGGAGGGTGCCTCCCCCATCTGTTTGGCAGTGGCTCTGGCCAGAGGCAACAGATGCTGCGCCAGGATTTAGGAAACGCTCTTCTGGCACCTCTCTGTTTCCTTGTTTCACAGTTTACACAGTTGCTTTCTCTCCGCCTCGTGTCTTGTCTACAACTAGTTTTACTGAAGCAGATCACGCCTCAGCAAATTGACTTGGAGCCGGTCTCTTCTCTGGCCCACAGGACTTGCCACCCCAGTGCCCCGTCAGCTCCTTCTGCAGCGGCCCTCATGCCAATGCTTCCTCCCTTGAGAGAGCTCAGCCTCCAGCTGTAACTCCTGTATCTAGAGCTACAAACAGCTGCGACTGTTTAAAGCCAGGGTCCCACTTCGGAGAGAACAAGGGAATCTGTGTTTCCCACATGCTCCCGCCTCCTCTAGGGTGGTATGCTGAGAGCCATGAGGGTCTGTCTGACCTTGGCCAGCTGACTGGGGTATTGTCTTACATGGCTGCTCTGTGGGCTGAGGGCCTGTGGATCTCACACCTTTGAGACAGGGTAGGGGTAGAAGTGACCGTGTCCAGAGAGGGGTTAGCGTACCCCAGGAGGACAGGCTGTCTGTGATGGCAGGGCAGGAGACAGGTACCCACTGACCCCAGAACTGGGTGTACACAGCTGCTGGACCTGGGGCTATGCAGTTGTAGTCAGACGGATGGGCCGCCTGACACATCGTGCCTGTGTGCCAGCAGCTAACTCAGGCGGAGAGTACAATGGGGGGTCAAGTGAGGAGACGTGGGGTGACGAAGCCATGCACAGTGGAGCTTGGCACCAGCTGCCACCATTGAGCTTCGCCCCTCCGCTGTGCCAGGCACCGTTGTGAGCCCTTAACAGACATGACAGCTCGGTCCCATCCCAAGTGACGGAAGAGGAGAGGGTGGCCTGTGAGGTTTTGCAGCTGCCAGGGGTCAGGATGTGACCCACACATTCTGTACCAGAGTGGCACCAAGTACCCGTACGGTGGGTCTGCATAAATGCTTCTGCCAGGCAGGAAGGCGGGGGCACGAAACACACCATGCATCCCACGTATGACTCCGTTTACCTTTGTTGTTCTTAAGGTGATGAGACTGTGGTCTTCTGTATTTTCCAAGTGGACAGATGTCCCTTGGGTGATCAGAGTCTCTTTTAGCCAGAACCTGTTATTTGCACCGCCTTCCTCTATTGGGAGACGATGCTGTGCTCGTGCTTCTCTGTGGGCTGTGGGTCACAGGAGGAGATCCCTGAAGGCTGGGAAGCACCCCTCTCCCTGACCCCATGGCATGGCATGGTGTGAGCACACCCCCGTGTTTGGAGCACAGATGCTTTTTCTGGTAACTTTTTCTTTAAAGCAGGAGCTTGGTTTCATAGAAACCTCTCTGGGTGACTGGGGCGGCTGGGCACAGTTGGGAAGGAGGTCCCAGAAGAGGGTCCTTCAGCGCCCTGGGGTGGCAGGAGAACACCTAAAAGCCACTCCCAAGGTCCTACCACGTGCTGCCCAGGGGCCCTTGGAGGTTGTCTGAGTTATTATTATTTAATAAGTTAAAGCCTCGACGTTCCTAACGCTTGGATAGGACTCCAGTGGCATTAAAAAGAGGAAGCCCCAACCCCCGGCCACAGGCCAGGATGGGCCGAGGTCTTTCCTCCGTCCACCGGCTTCGCTAGGACCCTCCACCTGGGGTGAAGGTTCAGGGGTTTCCAGTTGGGCGCCAGGACCCCAGGCTCCTTGGAAAGGCATTCATCTCCTCAGCCTGGGCTACGATGACACAGACACCCAGCAGGCCCTGCCGAAGTCAAGGAGTGGGTGAGGGCCCAATCAGGTGAGTGGCAAGGGCCTTCTCCAGGGCCAGCACTGGGCCGTTGGTGGCTCCAGCCCACAGTGCCCTGCTCTTCTCGACAGGAGCCAGGCTGAGGAAGCAGCCTTGGGCGTCCAGGCCCCTGCGCAGCCCATGCTGTGGCAGAGGGACAAAGCTGCCGAACCCCTAGACAGGCCCTGCCGAATCCACTCCAGTGGCTGGAGCATGTGGCCATCCCTGAGGCTGAGGAGGAAACGTCACACAGAAGGTCCGGCAGCACCTTCCTCCTGCAGGCACTTTCTGGGGAGCCGTGTGGGGATGGTGGGGAGCTCTCAGACGGCTGAGATCACTGCTGAGAGTGAGACCTGGAATCAGCCCCAGGGTTGCAGAGTAGAACCGGGTTAGGTGAGCCATGAGAGAACCCGAGGATCTCCTACAGCTGGCAGAAACAGTGAATTAAAAGTAGCTGAGGCTGGGCACGGTGGCTCACACCTGTAATCCCAGTGCTTTGGGAGACCGAGGTGGGCAGATCACAAGGTCAGGGGATCGAGACCAGCTTGGCTAACATGGTGAAACCCCGTCTCTATTAAAAATACAAAAAAATTAGCCAGGCATGGTGGCGTGTGCCTGTAATCCCAGCTACCCAGGAGGCTGAGGCAGGAGAATTGCTTGAACCCAGGAGGCGGAGGTTGCGGTGATCCGAGATTGCACCACTGTACTCCAGCCTCAGTGACAGAGCAAGACTCCATCTCCAAGAAAAAAAAAAGTAGCTGAAAACAGGCCAGGCGCAGGGGCTCCCGGCACTTTGGGAGGCCAAGGCTTACAGATCCCTTGAGCTCAGGAGTTCAAGACCAGCCTGGGCAACATCGCAAAGCCCCATCTCTAACAAAAATACAAAAACATAGCTGGACATGGTGATACGTGTCTGTGATTCCAGCAACTTGGGAGGCAGAGGTGGAAGAATCACTTGAATCCAGTAGGTGGTGGTTGCAGTGAACCAGGATCACACCACTGCACTCCAGCCTGAGCAATAGAGCCAGACTCCATCTCAAAAAAAAAAAAAAAAAAAAGGAAAAAAGGCTGGGCATGGTGGCCCACAGCTGTAATCCTAGCACTTTGGGAGGCCGAGGCAGCAGATCACCTGAGGTCAGGAGTTCGAGACCAGCCAGATCAAGAAACATGGTGAAACCCTGTCTCTACTAAAAATACAAAAAATTAGCCCAACCTGGTGGTGTGCACCTATAATCCCAGCTACTCTTTTTTTTTTTTTTTTCTTCGACAGAGTCTCGAAGTGTTGCCCAGGCTGTAGTGCAGTGGTGCTATCTCAGCTCACTACAATCTCTGCCTTCTGGGTTCAAGCAATTCTCTTGCCTCGGCCTCCCGAGTAGTTGGGACCACAGACGCGTGCCACCACGTCCAGCTAATTTTCTTGTATTTTTAGTAGAGATGGGTTTTCACCATGTTGGCCAGGATGGTCTCGATATCCTGACCTCGTGATCCGCCTGCCTCGGCCTCCCAAAGTGCTGGGATTACAGATGTGAGCCACTGTGCCCAGCCAATCCCAGCTACCCTTGAGACTGAGGCAGGAGAATTGCTTGAACCCAGGAGGCAGAGGTTGCATCAAGCCAAGATTGCGCCACTGCACTCCAGCCTGGGCGACGATAACAAACCTCTGTCTTAGAAAAATTTGTGTGAAAATGCACGTCCATGTAAAGTATGTATTTACATGTTCATGATTACAAATGTAAAACATCTATTTACATGTTCATGATTACACATGTAAAACATCTATTTTCAGGTATAGAAAAATACTGGCAGGATACATATTAATCCAAAGTGTTAAGGAAGTATCTGTGTGGCAAGGACCCCTTGGTTTGGGTTCTCCTTTTCACTCACCTTTATCTCCTATTTTCTCCAGGACGAACACGTATTAATTCTGTAGGGAAATCCGAGCGCAGCAGAGCAAGCTGCCGCTGGCTGAAGAGGTGGGCGCCATCTGGCTGGGGCTGCACCCTGTCCCAAAAAAACCAAATGTACAAAGGGAGCCCTCACCCCACGCAACAGACTGAGGACGATCTTTGTAAGAATATTGACTGTTTCACTAGGGCAACATTCTTAACGTCAAAGGGAACCATACAGGTCCGTAAGACCATTTAAAAGACCCGGTGGAAAATGGTTAGAGAAGCTACAGAAGATTCACTAAAGGATAAGTGAGACAGTTGTCACTACCATGAGGAATTGTAAGTCATAAACAGATGCACCAGGCCGGGTGTGGTGGCTCCTGCCTGTAATCCCAGCACTTTGGGAGGCCAAGGCAGGTGGACCACAGGGTCAGGAGATCAAGACCATCCTAGCTAACATGGTGAAAACCCGTCTTTACTAAAAATACAAAAATTACCTGGGTGTGGTGGCGCGGGCCTATAATCCTAACTACTCAGGAGGCTGAGGAAGGAGAATCACTTGAACCCGGGAGGCAGAGGTTGCAATGAGCTAAGATTGTGCCACTGCGCTCCAGCCTGGGCAACAAGGCCAGACTCTGTTTAAAAAAAACAAAACAAAATAAAATGCACATAACACCTTCTTCTTAATGCAGGCTAATCTAGACCTAACACAGACCTGGGGTGGTGATGGCATCCTCAGTGTCCTCCATGCTGCTCCCGTCCTGGGTTGGAACCAGGCACCACAGCTCCCTCACCCGGCACCTGGGGCAGACCTGGAGC